GGCCTTGGGGCCTTCCCAATGCAGATCCTTGATACAGACTTGGATGAGACATTGCCATTAGACATGGCAGCCTTTAGCTGGACTCATGCGGGACATTGCCATGAGATCCAGGCCTTCAGCTGGATTCTTCCGGTCTCTAGTACACAGATAGATCTCTTGCACTCTTTTTTTTTTTTTTTTTTTAACTTTTCTTTTTGGTACCGGGGATCGAACAACTCAGGACCTTGCGCTTGTGAGGCAGGCACAGAGCCATTGGGCTAAATCCCTGGCCCTCTCTTGCACTCTTCTTTATTTGACTTTTTGGGTGAATATTATAAAATATCCCTATAAATTATGTATCCTGTATTAAATCTGTTCCCTTGCAAACCACTGACTCTAGTAAATCCTACCTACAACATACATATAATTCCCACAACTCCCTTTGTCACTTGTCCTGGAAGTGACACAGGGGATCCTCTTCATTCCTTGTTACTACTTCCAGATCATTTTTCCCATTCTCTAATCACACCCAACTTTAAATTTCCTGTTACTGGACTGTATGCCACCCACTATCCTTCCTATTATAGTCATCTGTCTATTCCTTGCTCATCATTCTGTCATAATCCCTACCAATTTCAGTATTCATGTGGATCATCCCAGCACCTCACTTCTGTTTCTTATTCTCTTTTATTTATTTATTTTTATTTTTTGGTACCGGGGATCAAACTCAGGTCCTTGTGCTTGCACAGCAGGCAGCGAAACCACTGAGCTAAATCCCCAGCCCTCTTATTCTATTTTAGTGTCTCAGTCCTTTAGCCACTTGTCATATCCTTGACTTTGTTATTACATAAAGAAAAACAAAAATTACAACTCTTTCATAACCAAAGTTTCAAATACTTATTCTCTAAACATCACCTTTCTATACCTCACTCTCCCTATATCTCAACTCTAGCTTTTTCTTTTCATACTGGGGATTGAACCAAGGGCCTTCACACTGAGCTACATCCTTGAGTCTTTACCTGAGTATCTCATTCCCCAGTTTGGGAAACTTTCTGCTTTAATTTTAGCGAATAAATACTTTTAAAAGCCATTTGCTTGTATTTCAGTGCTTGCTTCTAGGCCAATGAGTCTTAAGTTCTTTCTTTTCAATTTATCTAGGAACTCTTGTGTCATCTATTCATTGCTGCTTATTTTTTCATTGTTTTTATCTTTTATTTTACTCTTTGTATTTTGTGTTTCTCATGTAAGAGAGGCCATGATATTTAAGCTCATGTGTCTCATTTATTTCACTTAATATGGTCTCAAGGTCCATCCATTTACCTATGAATGCCACAAATTCATCCATCTTTATGGCACAGTAGTACTCCATTGTATATAAATACCACATTTTCTTCATCTGTTGATGGGCATATGGGTCATTTCCAAGATTTAGCTATTATAAATTGTGCTGCTATAAACATGGGTATGTGAGCCAGGCATGGTGGCACACACCTGTCATTTCAGTACTCCAAAGGCTGAGCCAGGAGGATTGCCGTGAGTTTGAGGCTAGCCTGGACTACATAGCAAGACCCTGTCTCAAAACAAAAAATGACAAATAAATAAAAACATACATATGCACATATCACTGTAATATGACTTAACTTTTGGGAAAATATCTAGAAGGGAAATAGTTTGGTCAAATGGAATTTCTATTTTTAGTTGTTTGAGGAATCTCCATACTGTTTCCCTAGTAGTTTACAATCCCACCAACAATGTAGGTGTCTCCCGCCCCCAGCCTCTGCAGCATTTGTTACTATTTGATTTCTTTTTTCTTTTTTTTCTTGGTACTGGGGATCAAACTCCGGACCTTGTGCTTGTGAGGCAAGCAGTGGCACCACTGAGCTAAATCCCCGGCCCACTATTTGATTTCTTGATGTTAGCCATTTTTTCTGGAGTAAGGTGGAATCTCAGTGTTGTTTTTTGGGATTTTTTTTGGTACTGGGGCTCGAACTCAGGTCCTTGTGCTTTCAAGGCAGGTGGCATAACGACTGAGCTAAATCCCTGGCCCTCAGTGTTGTTTTAACTTGCGTTTCTCTAATGGCCAGGAATGTCGAACATTTTTTCATGTATTTATTGACCATTTGTACTTCTGAGAATTGTCTATTCATTTCAGTTGTGCATTTTTGATTGAGTCTTTTATTTTGAGAAAGTCTAATTTTTTTGAGTTTTTTATATATTGCGGATACCAGTCTTCTGTCTGAAGAACAGCTAACAATATTTTTTCCCATTTGGTAGCTTGTCTCTTTGCTCTGTTGATTGTTACCTTTGCTGTGCAGAAGTTAATTTGATATGATTCCATTTGTTAATTTTCAGTATTATTTCTTATGCCATTGGGGTTCTGTTCAGAAAGTCCTTGCCTGTATCTGTGTCTTCAAGAGTTTTACCTATTTTATCTTCTAGCACATTCTTTTTGAACATTTAGATCTTTGATACATTTTTATTTTTTTCTTTGATCCTGTCTGAATGTTTTAGCACTCCTACCCTGTCTTCAACACCTGATGTATATTTTTTTCTGATTGATCTTGTCTATTACTTAGACTTTCAGCCAAGTGTTTTGACTTGAGGTTTTCATTTCCAGATTTTTTTTCTGTTTGGTTCTTTTTCAGAACTTTCCCCTCCCACCCCCACCCTCAGTACTGGAGATTGAACCCAGGGCCTTCACTGAACTACACCCCCATCCCTTCTTTGTTATTTGAGACAGGGTCTTGCTAAGTCACTAAGTTCCCCAGTCTGGACTTGAACTTTTGGTCCTCCTGCCTCAGCCTTCTAGAGTACTGGGATTACAGGTGTGCACTACTATGCCCAGCTAAAACTTGGCTTTTTACTGAAGTGGTTTTTCATGTCCTACATTGTCTTAATTCATCCAGCTGTGTATTTGTGTCTTCTTTGAGCTCATTGATCACTTTAATGATTGAGTTTTTAAATTCCTTGGAGTTTCATCTACTTCAGTATCTGTGTAGTTAGCTTTTGGGGAGTTGTTTATCTTTAGAGACATCTTGTTGCCTTGTTTTCTCTTTTTTTTTTTGTACTAGGGATCGAACTCAGGACCTTGTGCTTGCGAGGCAGGTGGTGGAACCACTGAGCTAAATCTCCGGCCCTTGTTTTCTCATTTTAGTTGTATATCTGTGTTGAGGTTTATAGTTCAGTTGGGAAGGATCTCTCTTCTATTGTCATGTGGGAGTCTTTTAGTCAGTTACTATGTCTTTCTTATGGGCCCTGGATTGTGGGTATGACTCCGTTTGAAGGTTTACACTTGGTTTTTTCTGGATACTAGGTTTAGCTCCTAGTATTTTGGGAGTTGTCTTTGTTAGATTCTTCATACTGACAACTTTTTTTCATTGTCTTTAATCAAGATGATGAGAACATGAGCTTTGAAATCAATGTGGTTCTCAAAAAATTGTAAGCACCTTCATCTTCTCATATACCACCCTCCAAGTCACATTTTCTAGGTTTAACAGATATAAGTATGCTGATTCTAGGCCCATGCCCTGCAACTTGCTGAGGACCCAGGCGCCTCAATTGTGTTTTGAATATACAATAATCCTACTTATAATTATTTATTTTTGATTCTTTAACAATAGATATCCTCAACATCCTCCTTCATTTCTTTGGGGACATTTATTTGGCTTGTGTTCTATTCACTCCTGTCAGGTAGAATAGGTTGTTCAGTTTATTACCTTTCTACTTTGTGTCTTTGTGTGTGTGTGTGTGTGTGTGTGTGTTTGTGAGAGAGACAAACAGACAGACTAGAGACTGAACCCAGGGCTTGTGCACTGGGCTAAGTCCCTGGTCCCTTTTTCTTTTTTTTTTTTTTTTGGTACCAGGGATCGAATTCGGGTCCTGCCGCTTTTGAGGCAGGCGGCAGAACCACTGAGCTAAATCCCTGGCCCCCCTTCTCCCTTTTTAATATCTTTTCTTTTTTTGGTACCAGGGATGGAACTCGGGTCCTTGTGCTTGCGCAGCAGGCAGCGAAACCACTGAGCCAAATCCCCAGCCCCTCCCTTTTTAATGTTTTATGGTGAAGTAGGATCTCACTAAATTGGCCAGACTGGGATTGAATTTGCAATCCTCCTGTCTCAGCCTCCAAAGGTGCTGGGATTATGGGCATGCGCCACCACACCTGGCTCATTTAGTTATTTTTACCAGTGAGGTCATTTGCAGTTATGACTTGTAGCTATCTTGGTGGGTAATGGATGGAAAAAGAGGTGGGAGGAACTGAAGCTGTATCTTAGCTTGTGCCACCCCTGGTATATTGGGGGTCCAGCCTCATTTGTATTGTTCTCCAGGGGGCTTTGCCCTCTAAGGAACCTTTTTGTATCTCATTCAGGGCTTTGTTCCTTTCTAAAAACAATTGTTTAGATCTCTGGATAAAAAGAACGCCTATGGAGGAAAACAGGAAGAATCCTTAGATGCCTTTCAGTAGAACCACCTTTTTTAACCCTGCATGCCAGTGGTGTTCCCTACGAACCTCTAAGCACTCCTGCTTTTTTGGAATTGCAGTAGGGCTGATGGAAAACAGTGATCTGTTTGACAATATGGTAGATAGAAAAGAGCCCAGCTCAAAATTTCTTCCTAAATCTATCGTCATTTTAGAAGCCTTGCCTTCCTATGTACCATGTGAGATTTCCCTTCCTTTACCAAATCATAACTACTTTCTGAGTCTCCAGATGTCTTTACTGGTTTTTATTTTCCTTCTTTATACCCATTTCTTACTTGTGAGGCATCTTTGGGTTTGGACTGGGGGACTATGCCACTTTGCGTTCATGTCAGGGCCCCATAATGATGTTCCTTTCATGACTTAGCCTACCCAGGATCTGATGAAACTTTGTTTAGTAATCTAGGGCAGAAGATGACCATAGTGGCAGTGTGTAAATGAAGAAATACAGGCAACACATGAAAGCAAAGAATAGCAAAGCAGTGTATATCCATGAAAGACAACAAAATAGACATTTTACTGAAACATTGAAATTTACTTTCAACAGGCTTGCGCTGAATTTTACAGTCACTTGGAAATCTTCTTAGACCTAGAAATGAGAGAAGAAATTTAACTGTATTACAAACTGCTCTTTAAACACATTGTGAGAAAAGAGGTAATCCATAGGAAAAATGAGTGCCTCTAGAACTCACAAAAATAAACTAGAAAAAAATCAATATGCAGTCCATGGTTATAAAAGTCACATTGAGGAGGCAGAGTTTCTCCCATGACCAAAATCAAGAAGATCAGGTCTTGGCAATGACTAATTACTAATTGGACAGTATTCTTATACTTAAAGTTAGAACATGGGTTAAATGTTGACAGTGGTGGTTATTTCTGGGGATGGACTTGCCTGTATTTTCCAAATTTTCTACATTTAATTTTGTAATTGGAAAAAATCCCCAAGTATTATTTTAATGGAATAATTACAGGGAAACAATTATATAAATATACAAATGTATAAGAATACTTGGTGAAGCATTGTTTGCAATGTTAAAAAATACCCTAATTTCAGCTGGGTGTGGCGGTACATATCTATAATCCCAGCTACTGGGCAAGTTGAGACAGGAGGATCTCAAGTTCAAGGCCAGATTAGGCAATTTAATGAGACTTTGCTTCAAAATTTTAAAAATTAAATAAAAAGGGCTGGAGATGTAGTTCAGCAGTCCTTGGTTTTAATCCCCAGTACTAAAAAGAAAAATCCTAACTTCTAACAACAGTTCAATAAATTAGTACATATCTATACAATAAATGTAATGCAACCAGTAAAGCGATAATATAGGGCAATATTTATTAACAGAAAAGTTTCAAAGATGTACTGCTAAGTGATATGGGAACAGATTTTAAAATGTGCCCAATATAAATATGTTTTTGCAGCACAAAATAGAAAGCATATATATGTATTGGTACATATATACCTGTGCACATATATGTATGAGAAGCTATCACTCAATTCTAACAAGTAAAAAGCTGAAAACTGAAATAGCAACAACACACTTTAACTATCTTAGAGAAATGAAGTAACAGAGCAAACTGCTTTCTCTTAAATTGGAGAGACAAACAAGAAGAGAGAATTACAACCTAATACATTAAAATCCCACAAACAGAAGCCTCAGTGGGCACCAGTGCTGGAGCAGGGAAACCTGAACTATAATTGATAAGTGCTGGAGGCTCAGTGTGGACAACTCTGAGAGATTAAAACTCCAGCGGACCCAGGAATAGGGAGAACCCCACATTTCTCTGAGTTTTACCCAGCTTTACCACTTTCTCACAGAGAAAGCTGGAGAAAAATCCCTTGTGCTCTGACAAAGGGTGGTGGTAGGGGAGTATATAATCATTTTTAAATACTCCAGAGTGTTCTGTTTTTAACAAGTTCTGTCCTGAAAAGATTTGTTTTACCAGAGTCTAGCCTGCTAGGTTTTTACCAGAATCTAGCCTACCTGGGGAAAAGCAAATACCAAACTACAGTTTTTCTAATTATTCTGTTTCCCCTCAGGGAGGAACAAAACAAAACAAAACACCTGAGATGCTCTAGTGCAGTTCACAGTTCAGAGGTACAGGCTTACCAAAAGACTGAGACACAGTTAGAGGACTGTAGAACACTTCGGTTCTCCCCATACATTACCACCACAATGTTAAAGCCCTATTTCCTAGGCTTTCTTTTACCTGGAACATCATGTCTGTATTTCAACAAAAAATTGCAAGACACACCAAAAGGCAAAAAGCACTAGAAACTGAGTATGCCTCAAAACTAGTTAGATATGGCAGGGACTCAGAACTCTATTGAAACAGGAAATTAAAGTAATTATGATTAATGTTCTAAGGGCTCTAGTGGAAAAAGTAAACAATATTTTAAAAATAGGTAATATAGGGCTGGGATATAGCTCAGTAGTAGATTAATTTCTAGCACACAGAAGGCTCTGGGTTTAATCCCAAGTATGGTCAAACAAACAAATAGATAATACAAGCAGAGAACAGAAACTCTAAGAAATTTAAAAAGAAATGCTAGAGATCAAAAGCACTAACCAAAACAAAGAATGCCTTTAATAAACTCATTTGTAGACTAGACACTGCTAAGAATCTCTGAACTTAAAAATATAACAATAGAAACTTTTAAAACTAGAAGCAAAGGAAAATAAACCTTAAAAAGGAGAACAGAATATCCAAGAACTGTGGCATAGCTACAAAAGGTGTAACATATGTGGCAATTCCAGAACAAGAAAGAAAATAACAGAAGCAATATATTTTTGGTACCAGTGATAACAGAGGCAATATTTGAATCAATAATGACTGAGGATTTCCCCAAAGTAATGTCAGACACCAAACTACACATCAAGAAGCTCAGAGAACACCAAACAGGATAGATTCTTAAAAACTGTACTTAGGCACATCATAGTCAAACTGCACAAAATCAGAGATAAGGAAAAATATCCTGACAGAATATGGGGAGGGAGGACCTTAGCTATTAAGAGGCAAAGGTAAAAATTACATCTGACTTAACTTCAGAAATCATGCATGCAAGAAGAGTGGAGTTAAAAAAAAGAAATAAAGAAAAGAATAGAGTGAAATATTTACTGTTGCCAGAAAAATTTACCAACCTAGAATTCTGCACCTCACAAATTTATCTTTCAGAAGCAAAGAAGAGCCATAGCAGTTAGGCAAGAAAAAGAAAAAACATCCATCATTATACTGTATACCTAAAATGTACCAATAAAATTAATTTTTAAAAAACCCCTTATCTGGGGTGGGGGTGTAGCTCAGTGGAAGGATGTGTGTTTAGTATGTGCAAGGCCCCAGGTTAAATCCCCAGCACCCCAAAAATTAAAATTAAAAATGAAAGAAAGCATCTAAATCAGAAAAGAAGTTAAATTATTTGTTGACAACATAATCTTATATATAGAAAACTTTAACTCCACCAAAGAACTGTTTGAACTGAAAATTCAGTAAAGTTTCAAGATACAAAATCAACACATAAATAACAATAGAGCTAGGTGTGGTGGCACATGCCTATAATCCCAGGAGTTGGGAGGCTGAGGCAGGAGGGTTGCCCATGAGTTCGAGGCCAGCCTGGGCTACAAAGTTCAATACCAGCCTGAACTACATAGTGAGACCTTGCCTCAAACAAAAAGAAGTTCTACACATGAACAATAAACTATATAAAAAAGAAAACAATACCATTTCTAATAACATCAAAAAATAAAACACTTAAGAATAAATTTAGGAGTAAAAAATCTATACACTGAATACTATACAACATTGATGAAAAACTGAAGAAGACACAAATAAATGGAAGGATATCCCATTTCTATGGGTGAGAATTAATATTGTTAAAATGTCCATAATAAAGTGATCAGTAGACTCACTTTTCAATATCAGGTGGGGAGCAGCTCAGTGGTAACATGCATGAGGCCCTGGGTTTAAATCCTAGCACAAAAAATAACATAAACTGACAAAAAATTTTAAAACATTCAAAATCATTCCTCACAGAAATAGAAAAAAAATCCTAAAATTTATGTGGAACCATCAAAGATTCCAAATATGCAAAACAGTTATGAGAAAATAAAACAAAGCTGAAGGCATCACACTTTCTGATTTCAAAATCTAATGCTGAGCTATAGTAATCAGAACAGCACAGGGCTGGGTATTTAGCTCAGTGGTTCCGCCGCCTGCCTCGCAAGTGTAAGGACCCGAGTTCGATCCCCAGTACAAAAAAAAAAAAAAAAATCATTCTACAAAACAGCACAGCACTGGCATAAAAACACATGTTGTTAGATGGAGTAGCACACGCTTATAAAACCTATAAACTCACTTGCCATGTGAGGCAGGAGGATCTGCAAATTTGATGCCACCCTGAGCAATTTAGCATGATCTTTTCTCAAAATAAAAATAAAAAGAGCTGGGGATATAGCTCAGTGGTGGAGCTCTTGTGGGTTCAATCTCCAGTAGTGCAAAAACAACAAAAACTCCAGACATATTGTGGAATAGGAGAGACCAGAAATAAACCCACATTTCTATGGTCAATTGATTTTTTTGGTACCGGGGATAGAACTCTGGTCCTTGTGTTTGTGCAGCAGGCGGCAAAACCACTGAGCTAAATCCCCAGCCTGGTCAATTGATTTTTGAAAAAGGACTAAGAGCATATAATGAGGAAAAAGCAGACTATTCAATAAATGGTTTTGAGGAAACACCATCCAGAAGCAGAAGAATGAACTTGATCTTTATCTTACTACTTATACAAGAATCAACTCAAGAGGCCAGTCTGGGCTACATAGCAAGTTCAAGACCAGCCTGAACTACATAGTGAGTAACCCTCCCCCCCAAAAAATAGAGAGAAAGAACTCAAAAAGGATTAAAGATTTAGACACAACACTAGGGGGAAATTTCCATTATATTGGTCTGTGTAGTAATTTCTTGGGTATGACCCCCAACCCCCAAAACACAGCAAACAAAAGCAAAAATGTGCAAATGAGATTGCATCAAACTAAAAAGCTTCCACATAGCAAAGGAAACAATGAACAGAGTGAAGAAACAAAAGACAGAGAAAATATTTGCAAATCCTACATTAGATAAGGGCCTAATATCTAAAATAACAAGAAAATTACTCTATTAGAAAAATGAGCAGAGGTCCAAAATAAATATTAAAAGCAGAAATACAAATGGCTGATAGAAAATGAAAAAAATGCTCAACATCACTAATCATCGGGGCAATACAAACTGAAACCACAATGAGATGTCACTTCATACCTTAGTTAGAATGGCTATTACCAAAAAAAAAAGAAAAAAAGAGGTAAGTGTTGGTAAAGATATAAAGAGAACCCTTGCATACTGTTGATGTGAATGTAAACTAGTAAAACCATACTGAAAAACAGAATTACCATGTAATTAGGCAATCCCACTTTTGGGTATATTGTATATTCATAGGAATTGAAATGAATACATCGAAGAGATGTTTACACTTTCATGTTCATTGCAGCATTATGCACAATAACCAAGATATGAAAATAACCTAAGTGTCCATCAATGGATGAATGGATTTTTAAAATGTGTATT